AGAGAGAGAGAGAGAGAGAGAGAGAGAGAGAAAGAGAGAGAGCTTTGGGGGAGGGGAGGCGGGAGGAAGAGGAGAACGGGGAGGGTGGGGTGGGGGTGAGGGGGGACGAGGAGGGACGGCGAAGGTGATCGGGGCGAAAGCGCTCGAAGAAACGGTGGTTTAGTCTTCTTGTGGAGGGAGGAGGTGGAGGGGCCTGGGGGAGTGAGTAAGTACTTGAACGCACGGCAATTATTTGCAATTAATTGTGGACGGACGGGTGTTACACGTGGTGAAGGTGATGCCACCGCCGTACGCGGTAGTCTCATCGACAGTCCCTCTTCGGTATGTTGCCGAGTTGAATATGCTTGGATTGATGACGTTTTGACGCATGATATTTATGTGTCCTTTGGTTCTGGTGGTGTGTCGCGTGTTATTTCGCTATTTATTCGCCCGAGGTCAAATGTCGCGGACTTGTCGCAGAAGAAGCATTGCGAAAAGCTCTAAGTCACTTTTAGCTTGAGAGGGTGTCCCCGAGCACTGTACTCCCAAGACCTGAAGACCAGAAGTTTGTAGCCCATCACAGCTATCTATACGAAGTAGCAATCTTCGGCGGTTGTACACACCATAACTATCTCAAACCTATCAACACAACTACTACCTGGTAACAAGGTCCTTGTGCACTTTTGCGTGCCGTAAACACCAGCACACGCAATGAAAGCAAAACGCAATGGAGAGGGAGAAAAGCCAACAAAGTCTCTACAAAAAAAATGTATCACGAAAAAAAAATGTTTCGTCCCCCTCTCATGGAGGGGGGGGTGTCGGGTAGTAGGTGTACGGGAAGACTTTTTTGTGCGCCCTTCCTTGTCAAAGTGGCAACGATCATTTCACCTGGTTAGAAGTAGAACACATGGTATTTCCCAGCGAAAACAAGACGCATGTGACCTTTTTCTCGCCGCAGGCGAGAAAATTCGCCCAAAATTTGTTTCTCGCCTGCTGGCGTGAGAAAGTGCCGCATAACATTTTTCGCCTTCTGGGAAAATTAATGTGCGTTCTTAACACCTCTGCCGCAACACCTGTCTGGAACGCTGTAGTTTCGGTTGTTTCGGCGTGTACTGATGTACGTAAGCTGTGCGGTGTTCGAACACGCACAGCACAGGCCTACACCCTACTTATTTACATCGATCGCTGGTTTAGATGTACGGGTTCGGGGGGAGGAGGAGAATGCCGGAGTAGACGTTCCGGCGAGGAAGGAAAGGGATGTCCCCGTAAACACGACAACAGTTTTGTTTACCAGTTCCTATTGTTGCACGCTTCATGGTGTGTGTGCTGATTGGTACCGCGGGCGCCCATGCTGCAGCGTGGAAGTCCCCGCAATGCTTTCGGCCGTGCGCGACAACGTGGCGCAGACAACCCACCAGAGTGCCGAGGGCCGTCGAGGTGCTGCCGGAAGGCACCGGCAGGCGTGGACGTACGTATTATTGAAAGGTCACCTGTGCACGTTGAAGGCCATCAGCTTCGGTGGGGGTTGTGAGGTGATGGGGAAGGGGAACGCGAGCGAGACTGCGAGCGGGAAGAATACGGCACAAGCGCTACAGTAGCCTCCGAGCTTTTCGACGGTGCCGCCTGGCTGTATGGAGGCTCATCTGCCAATTTTTTCGCTACGGGCTCCGTGTTTTTCTTTCGTAAGCATTGTACATGTACGTAGTGTTCTCTATCTTGCTTGCTTCGATCCGCAGCCAGCCGTTGTGCGATCTAAATAACCTCGCGGAGACTCAATGTCCTACAGGAATTGAGGCAAAACTGGGAATATTCCTGGCGAGAAAGCGCAAGATGCTCCTCAATACTCGACCAATACCAACCCACGTGTGCTCCACAGGTGTCCCTGTTTGCCATGTGTCTACATCAAGCCACAACCATAACCGTGAGTACGACAAACTCCTGCATACGTAGTCGACATCACCGAAAAGATCAACGAAACAAGGGACTTCCCACAAGCACAAAACACACACTGCGGATTGCAGCAGTCTACAGTAGTCTACATGGGAACATCTACGCTCGGACTCAGACAAGACTTCCTTTCACAATAAATGGGAGATGGCAGTGCAGTAGTAGTATTATTGAGGTCACCATGAGCGTTCGGGGATCAAAAAGGCTTCAATCTGGGAGGCATGAGTTTTAGTACAGGCACCATCGATATCATCAAGTTCGGCACCAAATCATCAGGCCATTTTTGTCACCTAAATTGGATACCTAAATTGAATAAACCAATTTGGGTTTTTGGCCAAAAAGGGCTTGCGTCGTTTTAACGCATGTTTGCAACACCGACGTTCAACACCCAAATGCGGCGGAATCGCCGCCGCGAGGTGACGTGGTGACCCAACCAGGTAGAGCGATAAACCATGTGCGCCACACGGGAGCTGTAAAAACATATCAGCACACACGCGAACCTAAGCATCAGCAGATGGTGCCAGCGGTCCAAGCCTCATCCTCATGCTTGCTCTACAACTGTTGTTTGGACCGTCGCGCTGCACACAACCGGTCGTTGACTCTTGACATCACACATGTTGGAAAGCAGCTTCCCCAGCAACCCAACCAGCGCGAAATGTTGGCACGCTCACAGATTCATTGCAATACAGCTATCTCCCAGCAGCGGGCAGTGGGTGATGCGTGTGGGTGCTGCACGGCCAAGTGTGCCACATGCAGTCCCGTCGGGGGTAACGCCAGCACGAGTTCAGCTCATCACCGGGGGTGCAAAAGGGGCGCAGTGCAAGTCGGGTACTTCGATTCAGCAAAAAAAACATCAATTTGCAATTGTTTTTTGCTGCACCCAATATCGAAGTCCCGCTTTTCCGGGCAGAGAAAGCCTCATTGTGTTATTTCCTGTCGACCAATCAGCATCTTTGGCCCCCGGCACCCCCGCGAAACTTATGTTTTGCAGGGCCTCGATGTAGGTGCAAACTTTTAATGTTAAAACAGGCCCTCAGTCACACGAGCGAAGATCATTGCCTTTATCAGGGTTCCGTGTATCATACACGACTGCCGTGTACACCAAACAAAAAGTGACGGGTAAGCGCTCGTATTCGCACTGTACGCACCCAGATGCGTATTGCCCATGCAAAAAGGCGGTTTCAAATTAATTTAGTACCAAGTACAAAACTACTGCGTCCCCAACACTGATAATAAAAAAATACCCGAAACAAAAAAAATGCCCGCCCAGCCGTCTATTGCTCCTTTTTGTGTGCAATTAGGTGGAATCTCTGGCTTCTTTTCGGCACATCCCTCGTCCCGCCAAAAATAATTCACCACGACGCTGCTAGGGCTTTCACAGGGTTCTGGATCGCGCAGGGTATGCCCGCGAGGACACGTTAGGGTACCCCTCTCTCACAGGGCACTGGCAGGGCATCGATAGAGTCGTAAGCCCCTGTAGGTAAACATCCAGGCTAGACGATTGGCCACCGATGCTTTGACAATTCAAGATGCTCCCCACGTCCGTTACTGTGTCCTGGCGCGAAAACTAACGGCGGTGCTCGACAACGTTCCGACATAATATCCAAGGAATAATAATTTCACGAGATCACACAGATTTCCGGCTGCACCATGATGTCGGTACGTTCTCTCTCTATCGCGAACTCGTCATCCTTGCACTGCATTGTAGAGCGCCTAAACAATCCTCCACCTCCTCCACCGGCCGCCCTGCCTCTCACGCACTAACGCCCAGTTCAGAGAGCACGTTGGCCATCCATCGCCTACTATCACGCTGCTTCTCCATGATATCCAGCGACCGCCTTAAAAGTAGCTCCCCCTCCTCGAAGCGCTTAGACTCTCGTGCGCAAACACCCAGCTCGTACAGTGCAAGGCCTGCTTCCAAACCGTCTGTATCCGGGTTGTTAGTCTCCTGCATCTTAGGGCTCGTCTCATCATTTCCTCCGCATTGTGTATGCATCCCCTTCTTCGAGCGCATACTCCTAACTCTCGTAGCGTTCTCGCCACCCCTGCACCCGCCGGACCCCGCTGTGCGTCGTTGAGTGCCAGACTTTGCCTTTGCAACCCTTCCGCCTCCTCAAGGTGCTCAGCCTGATGAAGAACTACACCCAGGTTGCGGAGTGTGATGGCGACCCACACATCCTCAGGGCCTAGCCTGTCCTTCAAAAGAACCAGACAGCGCCTCAATACCGTTTCCATCTCTCTGTCGTTGGGCATCGCCCAAAGAAATTAACAGGAAGAACGACAATATTCTTCCAGATTCTTCTACCCAACAACATCGTCTTCCGCGTCCAAGACGATCATGTCGGGCATGATTTCAAACAACTTCTCTCGCCACTCGGTCTTTTTCTACAATGCTGTTCGTTTTACGGGCGTAAGCGATTGGGTGGGGCCGCGATTCCACGATGATTCCGGATTCAGGTTCTTCCAAAGCCCTCAAAGCCCTAAAACGGTGCTCGTCGTCGCCATCGAGTGATTGGCCCCACCAGGTGCTGACGCCGAGTGATCGATGCCATATGGTGCTAGCTTTCTCCCAGTCTTCGTGCGCTTCGTGAGCTTTTGCCACCGCCGCTATGGATTCTTGGAGCAAGGGTTCTGGGTCGTCCATCTCAGCAAGCGCGGTCTCGCACGGATGGGTTTCATCCCAACCCTCCCCACCAACCTTTTCCACATCCAGCCATTGATGCTTGAGATAGTCAGCATTGTAGGATCTGACAGTATCAAGCGAAGAGATGTATCCCACCCATCTCCTCAAGGCATGCCGACGTACATCGCCACGATCCATGAGGCTTGCCCTTGCGAATTCCGATTGTACATCGTGCATGTAGTACTTGTAGGCCCATGTTGACCGCAGGACAGACCAGCGTTCTAAAACGTCCAACACCCGTGCCACCGATTCCTCGTCCTCAGCTGTAGGATCTCGATCATACAGCAGCAACGCAGCATCATGTACTTGAATGCCTTGGTCATCCGGCAAAACAGCAAGCGACAAGTACAGACGCTGCACGCGCTCGTCGTCCGACCCGATTGCAAGATCCTCCAAGCCGGCCTGGAGAATGGCCTTCCGCCGATTCCCTCGAGCACCATCCACTATGTCATCTCCTTCGATCTTGGCGATCTCGGCGCGCACCTTTGCGGCCGCATCTGACCAAGCCACTCGATCGTGCCTCCCGCGAACGGTGCTCCACCGACCCACGAACGCCAGGTCCATCGCCACGCGGCCGCACAGATCGATCAGATCAACAGCATCGTCAGGCAAGCGCACTGCTGGGGGTAGCTCTGCTGCGCTCCTCAGCACGGACTCCGCATCTCTCGCGGACAGCTCGTCCAATCGCACGGGCACTCCTCGTGCCCCAGTCACCAGTTCTTCATGGCGGGTCGAGAGGAGGACTGTCATTCCAGTCTTCAGCAGCATTGATACCACCTCCTTCTCCCACACGTTGTCCGCTACTGCAAGACACTTCAACCCTTTGCCCCCGTGACCGTTCTCCATCCTCTGCTTGATGTAGGCATCAGCATTGCCACCAGATTCATTGGGATGACCACCCACCCTGCCCCCGATATCCTCTTGCACCATACGGGCCAGCTGCAGCATCAAGGATGGGAGACGTTTGTTCGCGCCGTAGTTAACCGTCAACCACACGATACCATCAGAGAATGACTCCCTCACCACGTTACTCCTAACAAGCTCCGCCGCGGCAGTGGTCTTGCCCGCCCCGCTGTCGCCAACGAGTCCGACTAAGCGCGGTCCTGCTTCACCCGTAAGCGCCTCAACTACCGTTTCCGTCACATGGCGCTCAACGTGCCAGCTCTTGCGCGTCGGCGTGCCCTGGGGAACATAAGCCTTCTTGATCGGCGGCTTAGGCAGACGATCAATGATGATTTCTTGGTTTGCCAAGAGCTCCTTCCGAGCGGCCGCTTGATTCTGGACCATTTGTTCCTGAACGCTCATGTGTTGCCAAATCCAAGACGTAGGAATAGTGGAAATCACCACCGGAGTGGACCGAGCTCGTTTCGTCTTAAACTTCGTTTGGCGTCGCAAAAGGTATTCGTTTTTTGACAGCAGCTGCAAACAACGGCCAAGGCATTTGCTCGACGGTTTTCTTGTGTGCGAGATAGCTGCAGTCGTGGTATGTCCGGGGCGTGGAATAAAGAAACAGATGAAAGGCTCCCAATATGAGCTGGCACGAAGATGTACGAACGTGTTGTGCCAAGGGAGTTAGGGTTGATCGCCATACTGCCGGGAAGAGGGCGGGAAGGGAATGAGTTCGTGGCCGAACCATCTACCGGGGACGCAAACGATGAGATGATCGACACGCTTGAGGCCGAGGCGGCTACACCATTGTCATCTCCAAAGGGTTGCGTTGCAAGCAGCGGTGGAACGGAAAGCGACCCCCTTTCCTGACAAATTCAAGATTGAAAATTACCAACATCACCCTCAAGTCGGTGACCTCGCCCAAAACGGTGGCGATGCCGGCCAGACCCAAGTCGCCCACCAAGCGGTCGATACGTGCGTTCAGTGTGGCAAGCTCGTCCTTGACGCTGAAGGCCTTCACGACCATACCATTGTTCGTTTTTTACGCCGTTCCACAAATTTCTCCGCCTCCATAACGCAGTCCTCGAGAGGAGACACGTTTGGTGCCGAGCCAGGGTGTGCATGCCTAAACTTGGCGATGATGCATGCCGTCATGTACGTGCACCTCTTCTCTAGCGCTGCTAGCTCGTCTCGGGTTTGGTACACCGTCTCCACCGTCTCGCGCATGGCCGTGAGTGTCTTCACACCGTACCAACTACCGGCAGCTCCCCACCAAACCCCTCGATCAACAATATCATGTCCACCGCGGCCGATCCCATCTTAGGGGCGAGGTTGGCAGCCTCGACAGCGGCATCGCTCAAGGTTGTGGCCATGTTTCCAAGCCGTCGAGGCAGTGGTCCGTTGGCAGGGAATACATCCGCGCGAAAGGGAGACTTTAGAAGCAGCTTCGAGCGAAACGCATTGCGGGCACAGTAGCTGCCAAGATATTCCTACCCAGTCGCACATGAATCGAAGAAAACTGTATCCAAAGGTGTGTACGTACCCCCAAGACAGCCTACTCCAGGTGGAGAAGAAGGCACATGATACAGCGGCGGGTAGAGGGAGACAATGTGGCGAAGCAGGCCCAGCAAGAGCGTGGGCTCCGTGATACTTCCGCACGCAAAGCCGTGACCTGCGATTTTTCGAGGGAAGCTCAAGATAGAGAAGAGTTGTTCTTGTCTGCAAGCGATCCGCTCGCTCTAAATCCGTTTGTTGTGATGTACAGAGAGCCGATTTTGTGTACTACGGGCTCGTCGTATGGTAAACTGCAACTGATCAGAACGCATCGGTTGACGCCAAAAATGCTGTTACAGGCCCGATACGACAAAATCGCGAGAAGTCGTGTTGTCATCCGCCATGGCAGAGGGCGGCCAATAGACCCTGGCAATGCCACCGACGATTGCTCTACCAGGCACGATGGCGACAAGCATACAAATCCTGAACACTCCCATTTTTCGCTGACCGGCGCCGTTCGCTTGCTTCGTTGGTGCGATCCTCTTCAAACAAATCCCACCTTAAAACGAGTCGAATAGTAATGTTTTTCCTTCCACTCACTGTAAGGACTTCAACACCCCCCCTTCGACTGTGTTTCTATCTCGAACGGGGAGTCTCTGTAATTGTTTGTATGTATGCCGGCGGCGGGTCCCGAATCGCACGGCGAAAGAGGCGGGTAGGTGTTGTACAAAGAGATAAACCAACAGCAGTATTATGGAGGAGCGTAGTTTATCGACTGTTTTCGAGGTGGGAGTAGATGTGCATGAACGAGATGGAAAACGGCAGTGTGTGCGGTTCAAGAAACGTTACGTCTGGGGCTGAGCAGGTGTGTGAGAGAGAGTTACAGCAGTATGTCGACGATGGTGTGTTGGACCTCAATGGGCGCGCAGTGAAGCAAAGGACATGTACATGTATTCGACTGGTCGTGCACGCTGTGCAGCGTGGGAAGTCCTTGGCTGTCCCGATCTGTGCCGGACTGGTCACGTATGGCCGAGAAACGGAGTGCCACCAAAACGGGAAATATATAAACCACGGTTGTTGGCAGCTCAGCACAGCACCATCGGGCATTTTTTTTTTTTGCTCTGGGGCTCGCAGCGGAGTGTGGCGGAAAAATCCACCCGCGGTGGAAAGTGACCTTCTTCGCGCACCCGGTCGTGATGACCACAGCACAGCCGATTTCAAGCATGAGGCTACGACCATGTTAACAAGGCACACACACGTGGAGAGAGCTGTGGAGATCCAGCAATTCCAAGCATACACTTGGTGGCCAGAGGTCAGGTTTGTGGGGAGGGCACCGATCACGCGTGTAGGCGGGAGGTTGCACGCCGATTTGTGAAGTAGCTCATCATCCTGCATCGAGGATAGTGGGTGACGTTGAACCCAACTAACACGGCGGACTGGCAGCAGAGACTAGAACGACGCGTTCAATGTCTACCCCGTCCTCCCACCCCCCCCACCCCAACCTTCACACCAGGTTTGTGATCGGTCTCTGGCTCACACAAAACATGCGAAGTCAGTCGTAATGTCGTTATTTGATAAAGTTACACCGTTAGACTAGTCAGCGCTGACTAGTCAAATGGTGTAACTTTATCTTGTAAAACATATGCGCTCAGCTCATTAGCACCCGGCAGGATCACTTGGGTTTAATGGCTTAGTCACTGGGATTGAGAGCAGGGATCTCCGGGGACGGACCCCTCGCCGGACGCTGATAGTTCTGTTATAGATGCACTTCTTGCAAAGAAAAGTGATCCTGCCGGTATTTGAAGTCGTGCGGGTATCCTTTATTAGACAAAGTTACATCATTAGATACGCTGACTAGTCTAATGGTGTAACTTTATCTAATAATCGTGATCCTTGAAGTATATTTTCGCTTCTCCGTCGGATAGAGCGAATGCGAAGCAAATATTCCCGCACCGTTCTGTTTTCTGTTCTCCCTCGTGAATCGATGCTTCAAACACTTGGTGCGGTGTGTGGTGGAACCAACAACCAACCGCGCCACAGCATCGTGTCCACGAGAAATGAGATCGTACGTATGATGATAGCTGATAACACCTCGCCGCTAAGCGTGCGGTGCCATCGAACTGAAGTGCGGGGCTTCCCGGAGCGCTGCCTCCCGCTCCTGCGGATCCTGGCGCTTTCTCCCACTCAAAACCGACGGCAAGAGCAAGCAATTGGGCCAGCTGCGTCGCCTTCCGGAAGGAGGTCGCATCTCTGATGACAGGTCACTCCGTCGCCCCTTGCCAACGCGTCCTAGACAACCTGCTCAGCCACGCCAAGCAGCTCATCGAGGAGGAGGAGGTGAGGACGCAGCACGAGGCCTCCACAAGCCGGATTGTCAAGGGAGTCGTTGCTCGGCCTACGACTGCATCGACCCGCCAGAGCGAGCTGGCGTCGGGACGGGGCCGGCCGGGAGTCGCGGCCGAGCAGACGGCGGAAGGAGAGGCGGGGGGGGCGAGGAGAAGTGGCGGAAGGGGTTCAACAGGACGAGGGGGAGGGGGAGGGGTGGCTCCTGGCGGTTCCGCGGCGGGCATGCCGAGTCTTGCCATGGGCATTGCAGCCTTCCAACAGGCGGCCGGCGCCGGCACCGCCAGCGGGGGAGGGCAAGGGGGAGGGCCGGACCCTGGTCTTTCCGCGGCGGCCATGCCGAGTCTCGCCATGGACGTTCCGGCCTTCCCNGGGGGGGGGGGGGGGGGGGGGGGGGGGGGGGGGGGGGGGGGGGGGGGGGGGGGGGGGGGGGGGCGTTGGTGTGTCAACGGCGAGGATGCTAAGGGGTACTATTAACGACCAAGAAATCACGAAACATGTCACGGAATCGTTTTTTCTTGCACGTATATGGAGGCGTTTTTGCCCGAGAACGTGAAAAGAAAGCGCCGATAATGTCGTCGGGGTTGATCTACACCCACGCCCCAGGAATCTGCCTCAGGAATCCGGCTCGCTGCAAGAACGGCCGGACATTTTTCCGGCCGGATTTTTTGGAAAGGAGTCCACATGTTGTTTAAGAATCATCAGCCTTAGCTGCTGTATGGTTTGGTGGGAGAGCAACACGAAAAAAAGCGTCGCGCCCATTCTTGACAGACATGGTTCTTTTGAGAGCGTTCGTTCGTTGTTTTTTTGCAAATCTGCAGCTCTCGAGCTCCCTTTCTTGAGTGCTTCGTACTCTACATGATCATGATATGTGTTGTACCCAGCAGGTGGGGTAAATTCGACTCTACCCCACCGGCGGAGATGGTACATTGGTACTTACTTGTGAGCCCGCTCCACATTTTGCACACGGGGCGCTGATGTAGGCAGGTGCGATAGGCTGCGGTACCAAGGGCGCGAGATTTGGAGGAGACTCGGCTCGCGGGCTAATAACAGGCACGGCCTTGATCACTCACTTATTCTCAACGCCAAATGGAGAAAGCAGGTGACACATCGGTGATCACAGGCGCACGTGTACCAGACATACATGCACACAGGCCTGCTCTGCCTGTAGGTAGGTAGCAGGCGTCCCTGACGCCTGGGTCGCAACTTGTTAACACTGCCAGGGTGCCTTTTCATGTGTAGAAACAGTACTCTTAAATGAATATTTACGTCTACAACCATGAACAAACAAAAAACTCAAAAGTCGTTCGTCGATATCCATCCCTACACTACGTACGCCCATCCTCCTTGGTCATGTCCAATGCTTGGCAAAAGGGCGAGACGACGTCCCCTGCCGCAGGCCACTTAACTACATACACACTTCGACAGACCGAGGAGGCTAAATACGAATGAATGCAGTTGTACGCAAACTAGCACAGAGTGTTTCCAACAACAGACCGAAACCAGTTCGAGGCGAACCTCTTGTTAAAAAAACTGGGTGCCTCCTACGACGCCCTCACCTTGTCCTAGCATCCTGGCTCCCGACTCCTTTCACTGGTCTCCCCATCCCGCACCAGAAGAAAACTCGTAATTTTGGTCACCTACATGCTGTGCCGACACGTAAACAACCAGCCGAAGGTAAAACTGTCCCCGCCAAGCCAAGAGCCTCAAATACGCCTCCAAGCCCCGATTGATTCCGGGCGAGCAATCTTCGCCCCAACCCCGCAACCCCCCGGCCGGCCAAAAATGATTCAAGACAGCGAGAACCCGACTTTCTGTGTCCCGTATCCCTAGGCATATGGCGGGGGTCTACGGTAGAAACAATGTCGTTAAGTACTTCACATAGCACAGCCGCGCACGCTTTGTGTTCCTTTACTTGCTCTCTCCAAGGACAAGTCGTTTCACATCAATACTTCTCCCCAGAGAGGGGAAGGGGACGCAAAATCAGCGCTCATGCATGTGTGCGTTCCGTGTGTACCACAAACACACCCAAAGCAGCGGACTGATCACCGCCCGTCGCGCGGACTCCTCTCTCTCTCATTTACAAGTCCAGCAAAAAGTAATAAGGTTCTCAACCAAACAATACTTTTAGTTGTTGCCCTTCTTGGCGTTCGGCGTTCTCCCGCCGCCGCCTTTTCCTCCTCCCTTCAAGTTCGCTGCCTTCGGGTTCACCGGCTTCGGGGTCCCAGCTCTGCATAGGGGGCACGCCCACGGGCCAGCTGGATCCTGGGGGTTCCGCGATTAAAGAAAAACACAGAAAAGAGGGAGCAACAACGCGCGCGTCCGGACGCAAGGCGTTCAAGGGGGGGGGGGGGGTACTCATAGTCGA